ACGCCGAGGATGCTGAGGATTTCGCCTCTGCCGACGGCGGCGATCCCCATCTTCGCGCCGTTCTGCTTCAGCACGAGGCCGCGGCCCTCCTCAACCTGCACGCCAAGCTATGGCCGTGCAGAACATCCGGCTGCTCGTCCCGCTTGTCCTCCACGTCGCCTCCGCCTTCTATGGCCGCTGGCGTCAGTCGTTCCACCTCGTCGTCGGGCGCTACTCCCTGGAGAGCCATGTCCTCTCCGACGCTGCCGCCCCCAACTCTCCGGATTGGGCGCACATGGACTGCGTCGTGCAAACTTGGATCACCGGCACCATCACCGACGCCCTCGCCGAGGCCGTGATCGAGTTCGACACCACCGCCCGCACCTCCTGGCTCGCCATCGAGTCACAGTTCCGCGGCAATCGTGAAACTCGTGCTCTCCACCTCGACGCTGCCTTCCGCAACTTCAAGCATGGCGACCTCGACAACATTGCGTACTGCCGGAAAGTCAAAGGCACGGCAGACGCCATCCGCGACCTCGGCGAGCCCGTCAACGACAGGACTCTTGTCCTCAATCTCCTGCACGGTCTCAATGGCCGTTTCGAAGCCATTGGGATTCACCTTCGCCGCGGACGTCCGTTTCCTACCTCTCTGCAGGCCCGCAACGATTTGCTCCTAGAGGAACTCACTATGGCGGAGTCTGCCCCGCCTCCTTCAGCTACAGCCCTGACTGCCACCTCCGGCAGCGCTCGGCTGCCTGCGCCCGCGTCCGTCACTCCACCAGCCGCTCCCCAGCAGCGGCTGCCGAACCAGCAGCAGCAGTCCGGGGGAGGCAAGCGCGGCGGGGGCGGGCGCAGCAACTCCAACAGCGCCTTCCCCAACGGCAGCGGCGCCCAGCAGCAGCAGCAGTGGCCCAATCTTCATCAGCCATGGACCGGATCCATCAACATGTGGCCTGGACCTCGGCCCTCGACGCTGCCACACCCGCACGCACTTCTCGCTGGTGTACAGCAGGGGCCCGGTGGACCGCAGCAGCTTCCTCAGGCGCTTCTGACTGGCGCTCAGCAAGGCTGGGGCGTCAATCCTAGCGTCCAGCAGTGGGCACTTCCTTCGACTGGTCTGTACAGCCCAGCCATCGCGCCACCCGGCTAGGACGCTTCCAACCTCGCCGCGAACTTTCAGACCATGTCGCTCCAGCAACCTACATCGAGCAACTGGTACTTCGACTCTGGAGCCTCCAACCACATGACTTCAGAAGCTGGTATAATCACCGTGCCTTCCCCTCCATATACTTCATCTCCATCCCATATTGTTGTCGGTAATGGGAACCTTCTTCCTGTTACCTCCACTGGCGTGACATCTTTTCCACATAATCTTCGTCTTAATAATGTCCTTGTTTCACCTAGCCTTATTAAGAACCTTGTTTCAGTACGCCAGTTTAACTCTGACAACAATTGTTCTGTGGAGTTTGACCCTTTTGGCTGTTCTGTGAAGGATCTTCCCTCTCGGAGAGAGATCGTCAGGTGTGACAGCTCCGGTCCTCTCTATCCGCTACAGTTCCCGGAGTCTGCGTCTGCTCTCCTCGCCACTACCAACCCTTCACTTTGGCACCAGCGTCTTGGTCATCCTGGCCATGAAGTTTTGTCTAAGTTAGCATAGTCATACGATATTCCATGTAATAATAGTGCTAGCCAAATATTGTGTCATGCTTGCCAGTTGGGTCGTCATACTCATTTACCCTTTCATGCGTCCTCTTCCAGAACCACTCATAATTTTCAGTTAATACATTGTGATTTGTGGACGTCACCTATACCTAGTGTTTATGGTTGCAAGTATTATCTTGTCATACTTGATGATTTTTCACATTATCTCTGGACTTTTCCGCTTCGGCTAAAGTCTGACACTTTTCCTACCCTGTCTAATTTCTTTGCTTATGTGGCTACGCAGTTTGGTGTCCCCATACAGGGTATTCAATGCGATAATGGACGCGAGTTCGACAATCATACTTCCCGCGCCTTCTTCCTCTCCCACGGCGTCCAGCTCCGGATGTCCTGTCCTTATACCTCGCCTCAAAAGCAGCAAAAAGTGAACGCATTATTCGTCGTACCATCAATAATGTTGTTCGGCTCCCTCTGTTTCAGTGCAGTGTCCCCCCACCTATTGGGTTGAGGCTCTTTCCACCGCAACCCTCCTCCTTAACATTCTTCCCACCAAGACACTCAACTTCTCCACCCCACACATGGTGCTCTCACGGGTCTCCACCCTCTTATGACCACCTCCGTGTGTTTGGTGTCGTTTGCTACCCCAATCTCTCCACCTGCTTGCTCCCCACAAACTCGCCTCGATCTTCCTTGTGTGTCTTTCTCGGGTATTCCCTCATCACAAAGGCTCTGCTTTGCCTCGACCGGTCATCCAACCGGATCATCATCTCCCAAGCATGTGGTCTTTGATGAGGCGTCCTTCCCGTTCTCCGAGGATCCTGGTCGTCCCTCACCCTGTGATTTTGAGTTTTTGAGCTCCATTGACCTGTGATGGCTCCCCTAACGCCGTCATTTTTTTTTTACTGCGCAGCACTCCCGGTGACTCCGCAGACTGACCACGTCGGGCCCTTCTTCCAGGAGCAGCGCCCCTTGGGTCATTCTTGCTCCCTTGCACACTCGGTGCATTTGCCAGTGGCCAGTCTCGCCTGCTGTGCCTTTGCCTCGTCGTCACCGGCCCGGGCCTGCTGCTGCTCCGACACAACTTGGCAAGTGAGCTCCCGTCAAGGCACACCAATGTAACGACAAGACTCTCCCAGGGGTGCCCGATGGCCGGCTGCTCACCACCTCCATCCGGTCATGTCGCGCCCACCCATCCGGACCGATCACACTGGCTTTTCGTTATTGGGTGGCCTCGTCCACCACCGACAAACACCTGACCTCCTCGCTTGGATTTGTATTGCCCTGGCGCCGGTCCCTCGGTTCATTGACGTCTGACCGACGTCCGCGATCTACTTCTCGCCGCCGATCGCTCCGACTCTGCGTCTCTCCGGTCGCTGCACCACCATCACCACCAGTTCCTCCTGTTCGCCTCCCTGCCGGGGCAGTTCCCATTGTCCCTGTGGTTAACCAGCATGCCATGCGGACACGTGGGAAGGTCGGTTTCCGACAACCGGTCACTCTTCAGGCGGTTTCCCTATCGCCTCTTCCGTGGACTTATCGCTACCAAGACTTGTCGATCCAAATTGGCGTTGCGCTATATGCGAGACGAGTTTTCAGCACTACTTTCCAACCACACTTGGGATCTTGTACCACGCCCATCTAGATCCAATGTGGTGACTGGCAAGTGGGTCTTCAAGCACAAATTCAAGGCAGATGGTTCTCTCGAGCGCTACAAGGCGCGTTGGGTTCTTCGTGGCTTTACTCGGTATACCGGCATTGACTATGATGAAACTTTTTCACTGTTGTGAAGCTCGCTATCGTCCGGACAACATCATCTCGGGTTTGTTTTCTCATGAGTGGCGATACACCCGACTCGATGTGAAGAATGCTTTTCTTCATGGGCATCTCTCAGAGACAGTGTATTGCGCTCAGCCTTCAGGTTTTGAGGACTCCTCTCGCCCAGATTATGTGTCGTCTGAATCGCTCTCTGTATGGACTCAAACAGGCGCCACGTGCATGGTACAGTCGTTTCACCAGTTTCCTTCTTCAGTTGGGTTTTGTGGAAGCCAAGACAGATACATCACTCTTTGTATATCGTCGTGGCTTTGAGACTGCTTATCTTCTGTTGTATGTGGATGATATTGTGCTGACAGCTTCTTCTCCAACTTGCGTCATTGCATTATTGCAGCCCTACAGCGTGAGTTTTCTATGAAGGATTTAGGCGAACTTCATCATTTTTTGGGCATGCAAGTTCAGCGCACTGCTTCTGGGTTATTCTTGTCACAACACCAGTACATGTTGGACATCTTGGAACGTGCTGGTATGGCTGATTGCAAGCCGTGTGCCACTCCACTTGATATCAACCCGAAGCTCTCTGCCGATGGTGATCCTATTTTTGATGCTACATATTACCGCAGTCTTGCCGACGCATTGCAGTATCTCACCTTCACACGGCCTGATCTTGCTTATGCAGTACAGCAGGTGTGTCTACACATGCACGACCCGCGGGAACCTCATCTTGCAGCTCTGAAGCGGATTCTTCGCTATGTTCGTGGCACTTTGGACTTGGGCCTTCATATCCGTGCCTCCAGTCAGTCTGATCTTGTGGTCTACTCAGATGCAAATTGGGCTGGTTGTCCTGACACTCGTAAGTCCACCTCGGGCTACGCTGTGTTCCTTGGTGACAACTTGGTCTCCTGGTCCTCCAAGCGCCAGAACACTATCTCCCGCTCCAGTGCTGAAGCTGAGTACCGTGCTGTAGCTAATGCGTTGCGCCAGCTATTGTCCGAGCTACATACACCTCTGTGTCAAGCAACGTTGGTGTATTGTGACAACATCAGTATAGTTTACATGTCTTCCAACCCCGTTCAGCATCAACGTACCAAGCATATTGAGATCGATCTTCACTTCGTCCGAGAATGAGTGGCTCTTGGTGCTGTCCGCATTCTTCACGTCCCGACGACGTCCCAGTTCGCCGACATCTTCACCAAAGGCTTGCCTTCTTCTGTCTTCACGGAGTTTCGGTCCAGTCTCAACGTTCGCAAATACGACGTTGTGAATGCGGGAGGGTGTTAGACTGTAAATGTATATATGCGTGTGTATATGGGCCTGGGCCTTGGTATAGCCGGCCGGTCCTCTATTTGGTTAGAGAGATATGAGATCTCGGTTTGGTCCTGTTTCTATAAACCACGAGATCTCCTCTCCCTATATATATATATATATACGTACATAGGTCTCTCCAATCAATCAATCTATTATTCCACGCAATCCTTATTGCTTTCATAAAGTAGCACGTACAAACGAACAGTACAAGTATAAGGAAAAGTTCTTCACAAGAAAATTAGCTAAGCTAACTGGAATAAGGAAAATAGCATAAAGGAGGACTAACTATGAAAATCATACTCACTTGATTGTGGATCAACATGAACAAAGAAACTGGCAGCAACTATTAGATAACATAGGATCAGCATAAGTCCTTTCAAGTAGTTCGCGGTGCCATCCTGTGATGAAACAAGTACATTGCACAGGGTAAGATATCAAATGTAGCTCAGATTCGTACAAAACAGATCTGAGTGAAATGAAACAAGATGATAACTAGTCAAACACATCACTACTCAAGGATGGAGATCATAAAAATGCCTGATTATTGATGGGAATTGAGGGAGATGTTGAACAGGAGACTTAGCAAATAAGATACAAACTGAATAGCTAAAGTCTATATGTAAACCTAAATAGACCAAAATGAACTTATGGAACCCTAAGAAAGCTTGAAGCAGCTCAGCTTCACAAATAAGAAAAGGAGAAATACAAAGAAACTATATTGTTCTAAGTTGCTCTTATTTAAAGAGATAGTAACATAAACTTCAGTGGACAATATAGCCATTGAAGCACTGAAGCTAATAACAGCAGTGTTGGAACTGAACTAGCTCAGCTGGTAGAAGATATGGGTGTACATCTCCGGCACTGAGGTTTGGTCATTTTTTACTCTGTGTACCTATTTCTCCTTATTAACACAATGCCACCTATTGCCTCTTAGGTTGGTCGAGTTTTTTAATATTAGTGTGCACCCTAACACTTCAAACAAGTCCACTATTATAGAGATGAATGATGAAACGTTACAAATATGGACATTCAACCACTGCCCAAACGGTGAAATGGACATAGGTTCACAATCCGTATGATGACATAAATAAATCGGGGCCAAATAAATCTTATCATGATGGCCATTCTACCACTGCCCAAAGGACAAAATGGACACATATTCACAATCCATATGAAGGCAGCAATAAAACAGGAAAATAAACCTTACCAACAGGCAACAGCAGACACGTATCATAAAAGTTTTTCTTAATAACCACCTTAAGAACTTACCTGTAGCATAAATGCCACCACGAGTACTGTTATGAAGAGAGTTGCTGTCTCAAATAGCTGAAAATTCAAGTCCATCTTTTGTCCCATCATCCAACCAATAACAACACAAAATGGAATCTGTATTGGAGTATACCATGTCAAACCTCACGGAGAGAGAAGAATTTAAGACATTTTATGTAATTCAGTAATGGACTTCTGTTTCCTTAATAACTAAAATTCAGGTAGGGGTTCTCCCCGATTTTTTGAAAAGAAAAATAAAAGGACAAAAGGATATGATAAACAAGTACTAATGTGTGAACCAATGCTAACATGTCAAAAGGTTTATGCTCGACATAACAAGTGAGATTTTTTTTTAACGTAATAACAAGTGAGAATGTGGATGCAGAGATCAGAGAATGGGGTAATAAGTTAGAAAGTCAAAAAAGTACCACAAACATTGATATCTGTGTTGATGAACCAATTGCAACACCGAGTGTTATGTCCTGCAGGAGAGATAATCACATACATGAATACTGAACAGCTAAAAAGTAACAGAACCATGAAAGCGAAGCTCAAGCTCATGTGAACACTTACAAGTTTATCTTTCATGGCAAACATTATTGCGCTTGCATGCTCAGCTGCATTACCCACAATAGGAAGCAAAATAACACTGATAAAAGCCACCGGAAGGTTCAATGAATCAGATGCTCCCTGACAGCAATAGATCAAAACAGTGATCAGTTACATCCTTGCAGAGGTATCAGATGACCTGTAAATTGTAATACTACCAATGTACATCATGGTAATAGTAGTAACTAGTAAGTAATTAGATTTGTCCTACAGATAGCTGCATGTAACCTGTTAGAGTATGGCAGGGGCCTATTGGGCCTGGGCTGGATGTATAGCCCATTAGTGTTAGGGTTAATTAGAGATAAGGGTCGCTTGCTTAGGAGTCAAGTAAACCTCTCTATATAAGGAGAGGAGATGTATCAATCTAATCAAGCAAGAATTAAGAAGGAAATCCCTTCCCTCTTGCCCGGCCGTGGGCAAACGTCCCGCGGCCGGCTCTCTCTCACCCTCGCAGCCCTAGCCATGAACAGTACCCGCGGTACTGTAGTACCTCGGGTACTGTAGCGCGTCAGCCGCCTTCGCTCCCCTCGACTCTCTCCTCTCAATCCTAGCAGCCACATAACATAACCATTTCCAAATTTAACATAAACATTCTCCCTGGCGATGCTTCAGTATCACCAAAATATAACTGCCTGTCAACTGTAGGAAGCTACCTTTAACAAGTTTCACTTGCCACAGATGAATAAAAGCTGACATTTTTATTCTTTCTTTTTGAATTGGAGAAGAATAATACCTCAATGGCGTTAACTAGGTACTCAGAAAGAAAAGACACCCAGAGTGTTAACACCGCAAGCCATGTTACTGCCTCCCACATGCCAATCTCAGCTTCTTCATCTTCTTCCACAGTATCCTCATTAGGCGCCTCTTCCTACAATATTTCCGAATATGGTGAAAACATGTATTGCACTGTTCTATACTAAATTGGTGCAATATTGCAAGAAACTCTCTATCACAAGGATGTGGTTTGTCACATGGCATTCTGAAAGCACCAATATAGCCATACCCACAATAGCAATTATAGCATCACAGTTATGGTCCTTATCACCAGCGAGGAAGAAATAAGATGAGGCATCAAACTTACATTGCCTATTGGACTGTAAATGTTGCTCCGTCCACTTATTTGGAAATAGAGATAGCTTGCGTACGCCACAAGCATAATACAACTACTGAACCTTGAAAGAGCAACCTCTGATGCTCCTTGCCGCACTTCTGAATGGGTGAAATGAAGAACGGCAGGAAACATCAATCCCATGACAGCCATCAACAGTAAACCTGAGTTGACAACTGCAGTTGCCTGCAGTGATTGAATATTAATCTCACTACCAAAACATCACCTTACTGAAGAAGAACAGAAAAACAGTCACACAAACGTCACCTTACTGAAGACTTGGTCTTTGTTGCGATGAACAATACCACCAGCAAAGAAAGCACAGCCCAAAACCAACAGCATATTTGACAAAATGGAACCCAATAGTGACTGCTGCACTACTCGGATCATTCCATTTTTCAAAGCATATATTGCAATGATCATTTCAGTTGCGTTTCCAAATGTAGCATTCAGAAGGCCACCAACTGCAGTTGAGGGAAGATGAAACCGGTCACCATTTGAGGACTCTCATCTAGTCTTATTTCAAATTGACCATTAGCCATAAAGAGAAAAAGGTGTACCTGTTGGACCAGTGTATATTGCAAGCTGCCTGCACAACAACCATTGGCATCAAAACTCATCAGAGCAGGAAAAACTAATAGAAAGTTTAGCAACTTACTCAGTCGCATATCCCAATCGCTCTGCTAAAGGTGTTATTCCTAGCATGCTGAAAAGGAAAACCAATCCCTGCAATTTTAATGCCGTCGGAAGCATGTCAGCATTACTTTAACAATAGGGGTGGGTCACCAATAGCGCTTGATGAGTTCAGCTGACGAAGGTCTCCTAGTGATGATGAGACATGTACAAGTAGCATTGCATAACCAGAACAACTAAACTAGCTATGTTGTTGAAGAGTTCCACTATTGTGACATATTGGCTACTCCCTTATTTCTTGTATACTCCCTCTATTCCAAATTATGAGACGTTTTGGCTTTTCTAAATTCATAGCTTTTGCTATGTACTTAGATATAGTGTATGTCTAAATACATAGTAAAAACAATATATCTAGAAAAGCCAAAACGTCATATAATTTGGAATGGATGTTATTTGAAGCTGGTACTTATTGCAACTGAAACAAAAGTTGTCACACAGTAAATCCCTACTACCCTACAACCATCCACAGGCCGATCAGATAGCACAGCAGCAGAGTTCAAGTTCCATGATCAGCACTTACATGCCTCCTAGTCGTGAAGTGGAGAATGATGGACGCAGGCCCGAAGGGCATGAGCAAGTTGAGCTTGGAAGTGAAGACGACGATCCTGATGCTCTTGAGCGCCCTCTCGACCGTCCCTCGCGAGTTCCAGGAAGAAGACACGGTGGGCCGCAACCCACCGTTGGGCACTTGCGGGCTGTTGACCTTGAAACCGCCCATCTCGATTTGAGGAGTCTCCATCCTCTAGTCTACGACAACGACCACAGGGGGAAAATAGCAGTTGCGGTGAGCGACATACGGAAATTTGCTCCAAGCGAGACGAGGCTCAAATTCCTACCCCGGTTTGCTGCGCCTCAAATCTACTTGCTTCAATGAAGTCTGACGGGTTCTCAAAGCTACTTGCTTAACAGTTAAGGCATGCAGCTAAATCGAACTCCCAGATCCACACTGAACCTACCCAATCCAGCAGCGACTAACCACGCATCTACCAAATCCGAAAATCCGAAAACTCAACAACCGGCTCCAAATCCGTGCGGCAACAACTTACCTGGGCACAGACGCTGCGGCGGAGCCGCCGCTGCGACGGGCGGGGGCAGCTCGGGATCAGGAGGAGGAAGGGTGCTCCGGCCGCCGCGGCTCCCTAGGAATCATCATCGCCACGCGAGACCAGACGGCAGGATAGTGGTGGGGCCCCCGGGATGGGAAACAGCTAGCTAGCTAGCTAGCGCGTGCCGAGTCGTCGCGGCACCGGCCGCGGCCGGCGGAGCCCGCGCGGGGTTCCAGGTGGAGAGGGCAGGTGTGCTCCGCTGCCCGGGCTCCCCTGCCGATGCCGACGTCGCCTGGCTGCTGCCTTTTTGCTCGCTCGCTGCAGGCTCACACCGCCCGCGCGCACCAAATATCCCGCCTGCTTCCTTGCTAATGCTAACCGGCCGGGCAGGCGACTTGCGACTTGCGAGTTGGGGGAGGGTAGCGAGCACGCCGTCTTTGCGTGCGAGACCGCGTGCTTATTTTCGCGGAAGCCTCGGGGACGCAGGGGCGCGTGCTTATTTTCGCGGAAGCCTCGGGGACGACCGACTTCATTTCGATCGGGCGTGTATCACTTTCGACGAGAGTCTCCAGTATCGGTCTTTTCTGCTGTGAATTCTCGCCCGGTTGGCACGCGGTGTCGTACTGGTAAAGTAGGAAGGAAGTTCCGTCAGTCAGCTGCTAGGAACGGAGTATTTGACTGACAGCATACAGTACAACGAATGCGTATCTGACGAGTCAAATTTAAAAACAATTGAAGTATTTGACTGATAGAATACAGTACTAAGAATGCATCTTCCTGTTTGCTTCGCTTATAAACCGTATTTTTTCAGTTAACGAATAATGTTTTTCTCTCACAGCAAATCAGCCGACAGTACTTTCAGCCATGGCTTATCAGCCAAGCGAACAGGGCACATATCTCAATTTAGATTTATGAAAAAAAAATAGTATCAACATTTGTTTCTCCAAATGTTTGTAGTAATCTAATAATATTGATTAAAAAATTTAAATACAAGCATTATGTGTGTGTATATATCTTGTTAAGTTTAAAGTTTGACTTCTCAAATGATTTAATATATGTATTATTTCTTGGAAAGAGTCGGTAGTGGGCTAAATTAGAACTAGCACCGCTTATCTTGTTGAGTTTAAAGTTTGACTTCTCAAATGATTTATATTTAATATGTGAGTTCTTTCTTGGACAGAGTCAGTAGTGGGCTAAATTTGAACTAGCACCGCTAGTCTTGGTGAAAGTATCATATATTTGTAGGAGAAAGAAAAAATCTTGTCCCGCCATGTACCGTTTTCGACTTTTATCCAACCCGTTTGTGTATTCCTAAAATTCAGTGAGGTGTTTATCCACCCGTTTTTTCGTGGGATCCCGTTTTTTTATCCAGGATGAACCCATAATGATCTCGTCTTCAATCTATGTGTGTACGCCTACAACTACATGTTCTTGGGTTATGTTAATACATCTACTAATCACCAATTGTGTATATTAACGTGTTACCACACATTTTATGCAAGTGAATATTAGACCGGTCTTCATATGTTTATATTGTCGTGTGACTTTATAACTGTATATTTAAGAATATCGGATCATGTGATCCGTATGTATTCGTTTCGTATGATCATGTATCGCGATGATGTGTTTTTCATTAAAAAAATATAGAAACGGAAAATAAGAGAGGGATTCCCATCCCGATTCCATCACTACGTGTTTGCGAACGTGAAGGTAGGTGACGCGGAAAGAGTATAAGAAATGGTGTCCCAACAAAGTCTATTTTTCTTAGAGGGGTGGTGTTTTATACTAGTGCACTTGGCGGGGAGAGGGGGCAAAAACCAACCTACGACAGCTTGGTGCGTTTTGATACACAAGTAAAGAACACCATTATAGCATAATCAGCAAAGCCCTCTTCCGAGTGTTCTATAGAAAGTTTATCACAGTTGAACGTTAACTTGATACATATATTTTGCTATATATATCTAAACATACACTACTGTATCTACATACAAGACAAAATTAGTATAAAGAAATTAAAGTGGTTTATAATTTAGAACGAAAGGAGTACCATGTAGACGGTCAGCCTGTAATACTAATCAGGTACCTCCCTCTTATGAAAGGGTCTCTGGCCGAGTTGGTTAGGTGGCCTGTGCAGCACACCTCATGTCGGTTCTCTTCTTGTATGAGCGAATTGAAAGTACAATCAAGCCCTAATTATGGGTTTTGATGATAATGACCACGCAATTAGAGAACTAATGAGATTTATCGAGATGACAAGCAGGGAATTCATGTTCGATGATGCTACACGAAATGGAGGAGCCCCCAATTACAAATGTAGAATGCTTCAAACACAAAGGATGTTTAAATTCTTTTATATTTTGAATTTGAGTATAGAAAAAACAGTACTATAAAGGGAGACACAATGCTTAAGCTAACATATGCTACCAAGTGCTCAAACACATACATGCATCCTCAGATTCACAGCCAAGACAGCCTAAACTTCACTCTTATCTTTGCTGTCTTGACTGGTGCGGTACTGCCGCGACTTAAGTGACCGTTGGGGCTGAGGGGGTATTTATGCCCATCCTCTTCCTCCCCAACGGCATTCTTCTTCCTGCTGCTCATTCCAGCACACCCAAACAGAAAAGGAGCTCTCTCTCTCCCTTCATTATTGACCTTGAGTCCTCAAGCAAATTAATTGATTTTTCCATCAATCCTTGAGAGAAAAGGATCCAAAACTCGATTATAGAGCAGCTCCATTGATTCCCCAACTTGAAAGAGCACATGGTTCATGTTTTGGCCAGCGGTTGTGTTTGTTATTCTTGGAGCTTGGCTCCTAGCCGGCTAGAGCGTTGCCCGTGGAACTTGCCAACTTGTGTTGCAGCCTCGAGAGGTTTGTAACAATCTCTTGAAGTTAATAAACTCACATCTTATCTCAAGAGTTAAGTCTCTTTATTTGAGAACGAGTAAGGATTGAAAAGTCCTAAACCTTAGTGGCTAACCTCAACAACGTGGAGGTATGCAAGCCTTGGTGGCGAGCCGAATCACGGGATAAATCATTGTGTCATTTATGTTTGATTTACATTACTTGCATAACATATTATGATTGAGGTGATTTCTAGGGTTTCTAGTCGATCTACTTGTGTGTGGTGTTCCTGCCACTTCTAACTCTTGATCTGTGGTTGTCATACCTGCAATAAGCTAGGAAATTTCTCCGATCTAAGTTTTCGTTCACGGATTTTGAACTGTGACTCGAAATTGTCTGCAGGTGCGGCAGTGTCGCCGTTCTGGCCCGGCAGTGCCGCAGGGTGAATTTAATAAAAGTTTGAGTGTTTGTTTTGACAGGCCTATTCATTCCCCTTTAGGTCAACCAGAGATCCTACACGAATTTTTAACTTGAGGTTAAAAAGATCTCCTCGTAGATCGAAACTTTTTTAATGTACCTCCCTATTAAGAAGGGTGTCTTGGGTTCTCTTCCCGTACCACCAAATTTTCAACTTGGCGTTAAAAGATCCCCTCGTAGGTTGTTTTTTTAACGTACCTCCCTCTTAAGAAGGGTGTATTATTTACTTTTCAAGAAGTCAGATTATTTTAAGTTTGATCAAATATATATAAAAAGATTAAATTTATGATACTGAATAAATATTACTAGATTAAATCATAGAGTTATTCCATAGTAAATATTAGAGACATACAAATTTCTATAAACATAAGAAAATTTTACTTGATTGAGATATAGAACTGCACTCTTGAACGGTGGGCGATTATAAGTTAACTATAAACATAAGAAAACTTTACTTGATTCAAATATAGAACTACACTCTTGAACGGTGGGAGAGTAAGTTAAAGTACAAATCAACATTCGTGGAGAGTATAAGTTTAATTACAAATTAACCTGGCCCTGTTCGCTGATGCTAAAATTTGGCTTACGTTGATGCTTATGCTAAAATGTTGTGAGAGAAAAACATTATTACATGGTTGAAAAATAGTTCCGAATAAGCACAAGCAGATAGGGCGAATTCACACCTAGCGAAAGTAGAACTAAGGACGATAGCGGGAGTAACATTTCATTTGAGGGTGCTGTAGACAAAGCAATTCAATATATAAAACTGAATCAGTTCAAAGCACTTCAATCAATAATCAATTACTCCTTCTGGTCTAAATTATAAATCGTCTTTTTTCATTCATTTTGCTACGTGTCTAGACATAATATTATATATGCATAATAAAAATGGATGTACCAAAAAAACCAGCCTGACTTATCAGTCGTAGAACATTATTTTTTCTCTCACAACAAATCAACTTCAAACACAGCGGAACAGCGCGAAAGTGACTTATAATTTAAAATGGTTTATCTATTTTGCTATGTACATCCTCTGTCACAAAATAGAGGTCGTTCGTGCTTACTGAGAAGTCAACCATTTTTTTTTATCTTTGATCAATTATATAAAAAATATTAATATTTATAATACATAATTAGTATCATTAGATAGATCGTTGAATATCCTTTTATAATAAATTTATTTAGAGATATAAATGTTGCACGTATTTTTTCTAAATATAGTCAAAGTTAAAGTTGATAAAACTTGACTTCGACTTTTCTTTGTGGGACAGAGAGTATCTGACGTAATATTATACCATGGATCCGGACATAATATATTATATATATTCATTCATACATTCAGATTCGTGAAGAGGCCAAAATATCTTTCAAACTGCCGTGGCCCGCCACGATTAAAAGAATACCCTCCAAAATGCAAATCCAGAATATTTAGATTTTAAATTTTAAATTGTTGAGGCCCTCCAAATAAGAAAATTTCAAATAATAAATTTTAAATTATTCGGGGCCTCCAAATAGGAGAATTCATCTCCTCGATTAATAATCGATAAATTAATAAATATTTGAATCTTAAATTGTTGGGCCCTAAAAAAGAGGATTCCCTCCAAAAATAGGCGTATGCTGCTATTTGCGGTGTACACACGGTATTTTTTAGTAAATTAGGTTCGTGCCCGTGCGTTGTTACGAGATAGTTAACATTTTATACTATAAAAGCACACGGATCGTACGATTAAATAACAATACTGTAAAATTAAATACCAACGCTAAACTGACATTTAATCCAAAAAACAAAATTTGTGAAATTAACACAATCACGTAGAACGCGGCATCGCAGGCTCACAAACCCTATTATATAGACATTTCCATGATGCGGCTAAGATAATATTTTATATCGGTAGGAATAAATCTCCAATATCCATTTCTTTCATGCACCAATAAATGCACGAATAAGTTCCGCCGCATCTCTACACCATCCTATACACATGTTAGAATATATATGTAAATATTAGTGCCCACCGCATGGGTAATACTGCGTGTCTTGAAAAATCTCTCTCAAACCCTTAAAACAAAGTATGTTGTACTCACCGTATAAATATGTGTGGCTTTATCTATTTCACGCAGACATATATTTTAGAATAAGGTATCCACTTAAGTGTTAGTGTCAAGATTCGGCATAAGGTGTCGACGTGGTTGCTTGCCGTGACATAGAGGATGATGGGTTCTCTCCGTTCGGGAGCGACGAGGATTAGGGCCGGCGTTAGTGACGCTTTGAGGCTCTCCAAAGCCTGCTGTGCTTCTTCAGTCCAGACAAACACGCCCGTCTTTTTGAGAAGCTCGTAGAGAGGCATCCCCCGCTCGCCTAGCCGGGAGATGAACCGGCTCAGGGCGGCCAAACAACCGGCGAGTTTTGTACGCCCTTGACGTTGCTATAGGTGAAAAACTATGTTAATTCAATTTGTTGCTCCAGTAAGAAGGATTTTCAAAAAGATGTTGATGCCAATAATGAAGATAAAGTGGCACATGATCTATTAATTTGCACCACCGGTATAAGTGGAAATGAAATATTAATCAAACTAAAACTATAAGGCATGTACATCAACAAAATGCAGCATAGATGTAATGGCATGATAATCAGCCTGTTCGTTTGGCTGTGACTTGTCGTAAACGATCGTAAATTTCCAGCCGGAACAGTATTTTTCTCTCATACAAACCAGCCAGCAGTACTTCTTCACGAACCAGCAACGAAACGAACCGGCCAACCGAACAGGCTGAATATGAATATGAATGTGTGTTGCACTGTTATCAAAAAAATAATACTTCGAGCGTGATGGTGCTCTGGAGTCTGGAGCTCAAGTGGCAATAATACAATATAACCCAGCACCGGTATCACAATGCCCAACTCAAGCAACAAGAACAGAGTGAACCGAGAGGGAATTATTGTAATTTAACACAAAGGATGATGGTGCATGCAGTGGAAGTCTCCTCCGCGGTTGAGTCCTAACCCTTGCAAGTTGCAAGTGGTAGTACTCCCATGCAGTCTTCAAAGTATCACTTGCCTTTATAATCCCATATCCAACTATGATTATGTCACTGCCCCGTAGTTTATCACCTGAATTGCAAATCCAAGATGCAAGTGACAGTATCAGATAATGCAAAAGTTACAGAAAAAATAACGTCTCAAATTCTCTTGAGCGTTAAAGGCAAGAAAACCTCCAACTGAACCATATATCAAGATTTGGACATTCCAAAAGGAGAATAGTCTCTGCAGCAACAATATGTAAATTAAAACTTGGTACTAAACAAAATGACAGGGATTTTGACTTGAAAGGGATTTAAACCCCCTCAATCACCTCCCCCTTGGATTTATTTGCAACCGAACAAGGCCTAAGTGGTTAAATAGCTGAATAGTGCACAGAACCATAAGAATGTCTGAAACATTGAAGACCTGCAGGTGTGAGCAGTGAGCAAAACAGTACTAAAATCTATGTTGCAATGGACCATGTACACAGCCTATTATCAGTAGCCCATTTACGAAGAGCAGTAAGAACTAAGAACTGCTTAGTTTCGACTAAAATTTTGTCACCAAAAATATCTCCAATAACATATTGTTTTGTGAATTTGAAGTTTTTTTTACATATTATGTTTACAAAATGGTTCCTGTAACCGCATATACTTCCTCGATTTAGGACTGATTCAGGTTAACCCTAAGAAGCTACATGAAGTTGAAAACTCAACCACAAGGATTACATCAAAAGAATTCATACCAAATGTTGTTTGTTGCAGTAGTTAGTATCCACTCCCTGCCCGATGTTGAATGTAGTAGCATTCCTTTAAAACAATCAAGATGACAAGATCAGACAAGAAAGAGAAATTATAAAAATATTAGATTACACAGAAGCCTACTTCATGAGACCAGTTGACTGATGTAAAATAGAGAAAGAGAAGAGCACACATGTAGGAAAAAAAGAACTTAACTCCCCACTTATTTCATAGTCAGGAAACTCTGTCTTATTATTGCTGCCATTGCACATCAATCCAATATTATTGTTGCCGCTGTCGAGAAACCACTGTCACCGGTCTAGGTTCGAAGGCTGGCACAAACTTCTTAATTGCCTGAACGATGAAGATGGGAGAGCGCAGCAGGCTGGCGTGCATGAACCTACACCATGATGCTGGGTTGCTTGCTATTCAGTGACCGGCATCGTGGGTGACTTGTTTTGCCGATGATCTGGCACACCTTGATGTCGAGTTGCTTCCTCTCTGGTGACTGGTGTGGTGGGTGACTCCTTGTTTCTTTGATGATCCGGTGACGCTGCTTTCATCTGTAACTGAATAATTTTAGATGTTAAAAGACAAACCTGTAATAATCATCTAATTCCAAAAGGAATGCAGAACACATTATTCAGATAACTATAGGTAGTCCCTAGTTTATAAATAGAAACAAAACCAAGAAAGATTCCTGCAGGAAGAGGACACATAGAAGCAAATAGCAAATGACTTTTTCAAGTGATAAATTAGAACATTGTGCTAATTTCTATATTGTAGCTAAAACTTACCTTGGCTGAAGGACAAAGGAACTGTAGCAGAAACCTGCAGTGCCCACATAATCCATGTCAGAAATAACTACTTGTAAGATGGAAATTACAAATTCTTAATAGCATTCAGGTGTACCATATAGGCTCAGAATGATATCAGTCTCCCAAGACTATGGAGTTGCATTACATAATTTATTGTGAGGAACAATTTATAGAACTATGAGCATCAAATGTATTCAAATATTTATTTAGGCCAGATAGCCAAAACAAAAAAAAAATCAATAGTATTTAATGATGTAGCTTCTATTTCAGTCAGACTACACAAACACTATTCTAAAGTCTAAACAACAAAGTCAATCTAAACTGAATGATCGGGCTAATTCATGTAATTGATTCTTGTGTAGGCAACCACAAAAATCAGGAAGATGGCTCATCACGCAGAGTAAGAAGATGCAGAAAAGGGAACTAAAAGGTACCACCCAATTGGCTCATCAAGGCAAGGACTTAGTATTGGTTCATCACACAGTTCTGTAGGGAAGTGAGTCACTGCTTCTAATAGCTTGTCGTGCTCTAATCTGAATTTTCTCAAGCAAATGTTTTTCTCTGAAACTTATCTCAAAGCAAAGGTCTGAAGATCCAATTTTTTCCCCAGAATCTGAATAACGTCCATTCACTTCCTTTCACAACTATGTCAGGACCTGCTGTTTATTTGATGAAACTGAAAATTCTGAACATTGTCCATTCAGTAACCCAGAACAACGGATCAATTTCAGTACCTGCTATTTATCTGCTAATTAATTCAGCAATTGAATCATCCTATCTTATTCATCCGTTCAATAGCTCAAAACTATGCACAGTGAATCCGGTCAGCTGGAGCACGAAGCCTGCACCTGCCGGGACCGTGCGGCTGCCTGGAGCCTGGTGAAGTGATGCCGCAACGATGCGACTCGCCACTCGCCAGCCGCCAGGTGCCGCCGCAGCCCGCAACGGAGTGCTCGCGGGGCCGGGGACTCGTGGTCGCCGTCTAGAACTCTAGATGCGGGCCCGAGGGACTCGCTACTCCGGGGGAAGTCGCGCCGCCGGAGGGAAGTCGAGTCCGTCGAGCTGGAGCTTGGTGTTGGCGTCAGGGGGAAGGTGCCGCCGGGGAGTCGTGCGACGGGTGGGGACTCTCGCGGTCGCGCGCAGAGAAGGGGAGCGGGCGATGGGTGGGAGCAAGCAGGACGCGGACGGCCGGCTCACCGACGCTGGGCGAGGGAGAGTGGAGGAGGAGGTCGCCGGAGGAGGAGGATGGAGCGAGCGGTTTGTTTCGCACGAAGGGAGCGGGGGGCGAGCGATGATTCGTTTCGCACGTCTGTCGACGATTCTCTTATCAATATTTTAGTTGTAGAGAAGGTGAAAGAATCGTTCGCTCTGTGTGCACCGCGCAGCTGTGTGCTTTGGTAAGGTTGCCCTGCTGCTACTTTTACTCCTCTCCCTCGGGCTAAGCGATATGGTACAAAATCACTCCCACACCCACTCACTCCCACCATCTCTATCTCACTCGCTAGGCGCTCTGCCGCCCTGCTGCGCTAGCAAACTTGGGCCAGCCTCGCGAGTTATCGCCAACCCGCTACTGGGCCGGACCGAGCCCGCCGAAGCGTTTCACGGCGCGATCGACGCGGAGCGGTGGTTTTCGCTGGACTGGCCCCACCTGCAGTCTAACATCAACTGCCACCGAGAAAAAATTCCCCATCACGATCACGAGCACCGCCCCCAAACCGGTGACCGCAGTGAAGTCAATCAGCTTCAGCAGCTCGAGCACGATGGCCCTCGCGCTCGCGACGACCCCACTCGCGCATCTCGCCCTTGCCCCGCCCCCGATCTCCGGCTCCCAGTCCTCGCTGCTGCTGCTCCCGCGCCGCGCGGCGCCCGCCCCCGTCTCCTTCTCCCTCCCCCTCCGGTCCCGCCTCATCGCGGCCGTCGCGACCAAGGAGGAACCCGAGCTCGGCGGCGGCGGATCGGGGGGTGGCGACGGTGCGGGAGGAAGAGGAAGTGGCGGCGGCGGCAGCGACCCGAGGGAAGGAGGGCAGGAAGGGGAAGGGGATGGGGAGGAAGAGAAGATGGAGCAGGGCCTGTCCTTGTCGCAGAAACTCACTCTCGCCTTCGCCGCGCTCGTCGGAGGTAATCCTTTCCTCCCCGCTCCCGGAGTGATCCATTGCAAGCGTTGACCTGGATTGGGTGTGAAGAGTATGTTTGTCTTTAGGAATTGGGATCAGTTCTTAATCACTACGAGCCAATCTGGCCCGGATATTGTTGCTGGGTACTCCGAGCTACAATATTGTTGCTGGGTACTCCGAGCTACCATACTGTGGGCTGTTTTCTTATTTCAGCTATCATTTTTGTCTCTGAGATGGTGATAAATCAGAATCATCTACCTTCCTGTTGTGACTACCTGAATACCTTAGGCAGTTGTGAATGCCCACCAGTCACCACTCAACAGTGTTGCTTGATGAACTCTAGTCTTCCGCATACTGCACCACTGCTACCTCATTTGACTCACATGACTCGTGCACAATTAAATCTTGTTGCCCCTGGCAATCCTTAGGATCAGTTTAATAGCATTGGCATTGGTTGCAGTTTACTATTAGAACAAACAAAATGAATATGAAAGTTTGGATGTTATTGCAAATACAGAAGCCTCTCTGTCTACTATAGAATGTTCTTCTTGCTTATTATCTGACTCGATTAGTGGCTGAAGGGAAATGAGGGTGGCATAATATTTGCTCCTGGGATGAGGGATGCTGTGAGCATCCACAAAATCTAGAAATGGTTGATTTAGTTCTACAAAGAAGTGTTTTAATTCCATGAGATAGCTGTAGGTGGTCTCTCTGTTCCTTGCCTTTGATACTTGGTATTCCTTTCCCATTGTTTGTCTTGCTTGTGAAGTTAGCAAAATGTTTGGATTCCTTACATAACCTCAGCTTGGCCAATGAAGTTCTCAACCTTTACTTATTTGTTTCTGACGCAAAACACAAACCAATGCCCTTATTATCACCCTCTAATTGACTCATATCACTTGTTTAGTTGTTTGTCCTTGAGATGGTAATTAAGTCAGAATTATCCATCTTAGTGTGGTGATATCTACAGATGATACTAATTGAATTCCTTATGGTGACAATTACTCACCACTAATTCATGTGTTGCCTCCTGCATGCTGCACCATTGCTCCCCTCACTAGATGGACATCAGGACATGGCACACATTTCTTTGTTTCGTACTGTACAAATGAAAGCATATTTCCTTGACATTTCTAAGGATCGGTTTGATGGCATCGGTCATAGTTCACTTGAAAATTGGATAAACCAGAATGAAGAGGAAATTGGGATTTGTTTTGGCTAACACAGAAGTGTATTGCTATATCTCTGTGTGCCACAGAATTCTTGAGCATCCAAACAAGCTAGAAATATCGACTTGATTATACAAAGAACTGTTTTAATTTGTATAGACTGCTGTCAGTTGTGGTCTTTCTGCTAGGTGCCTTTTATACTTGGTTTTCCTTTCTCCGTGTGTATTGTGTTTGTTGAACTAACAGAATGTACGGATTTCTGGAACAACTTCGCTCCGCCAATCCAATATTTACTTATCTGTTTTGGATTATAATATTTTACTGCTTTATTATGCCTGAGCCTGACTATATCCTGGAGTGTAAGAAATTTCAATGCTGGCTGTTCTTGCCTAGGTGCCAAAAAAAAAACAGGAACTGATTGTTTTGCCTTTAAATTTTGTAGCTGGTGGTGTAATGGGATATATGAAGAGTGGAAGCCAGAAATCCTTGGCTGCAGGAGGCATATCAGCCCTGGTCCTGTACTTCGTCCACACTCAACTCCCAGTGAGACCTGTCTTTGCATCATCAATTGGTTTAGGTATGCAGAATCTTTTTTTTTTCTGATCCTTTGGCTATTTTCTTTGCTTGGAAGTTTGATCAACCTGGATTCCTCACTTGTCATCATTGTTGATTTCGTGTTCCAGGTATATCCGCCGCGCTTCTGTCAGTGATGGGGTCACGCTTCAAGAAGTCCAGGAAGATATTCCCAGCCGGTGTCGTGTCCCTTGTATCCCTAGTCATGGTTGGAGGCTACTTCCACGGGATCTTGCGTAGCTCGCACGCGTGATGCAGTCCGTTGCAGTCACACCATCTGCGCTTCACATTACAATCTTTGTTGTCTTTTTCTGTTTCATCATGCATTTTCGCTCCCCTTTGGTGTCTTAGAATCTTAAGGAACTGTTTCTGTTTCACTTTTCGGTGGATGTTTTGTTAGTGTACCCGTTCTCAAGTTTAGTTCATCTTTTGTGACAGTGGGTAATAACCAATAATAAGCATGTGAGCTGATAGCGGTGAAAGACAAGCGTTGTGAAGATCAGTGATGGGTCCAGATTATACTGCGCGTGCAGCTGCAACTGTAGTTGGGTCCAATATCTGGATATATTATGGTGAGCTGAGCTGAGCTGTGCCAGTCATCTGAAATGCTGGTTTCATGGCACCGCTGCGCTGACGTGCGACAACTGCTAGCAGCTTGAGTTTGCTGTTTGCTAAATAAGTGAGCGAAAGTAGAGCCGTTTGACCTCACTATTTCAAATAATAATAAGCTAGCTAACGACAGAAGGTGCAAATAGCCGGAACCGAACGATGACCGTTGAGGCTGATTGATCGAATACTCTTGCATTGCGTTCTTTTCATATCATCCATCAGCTAAGAAGACTAGCGGCCGAGTTTGTCCCTAGTCCCTAGTACACTTACTCATCTATATACAGACTAATTCTGAGTGTCCCAGACTTCAGAAGGTCGCCACATCACGGTTAGTGCGGAAACAGCTGGTTGAGCAAGTAGCAGGGGGGCTCGGCTATAATGAAGAAATCTCAGAGATTTAAATAATTAAAGCAAAAAACTTGCTTTGATTCAGTCCGCATCTATAAAACAAAGAAGAAAACTTGCCTTGACTCGGAGTTGGGGCCGGTGCGAACGCAAAAGGCTCGCCCGAGTTTAGTAGTTGGGCAGTCCGCCAGGTTTGGCCCGTTAATATATAGCAAATATAAGTGGACTCCAGCATTTCTAAAATGGTGGGCGGCCTACTTTGTTGGACTAACCCAAATCCAATCAAGGCAGCAGCGCGAAACCCTCGTTGTAAGGGCAAAGTCTAAAACGTCAGCTGATGTGACCGTGAGAAACACGTATTCCCTCTGTCCCAAATTATGTGTCGCTTTTGGTTTTCGTGCGGTAAGTTTGACTCGATTTGTAGAAAATATGTGTAACATTTGTATTTCCAAATAAATTTATTAAAAAAAATAAATTAAAAAATATTTCCAATGATATCAATTATGTACCATAAATATTAATATTTTTTCATATATATTTTGTCAATGTTGTTTCTCGAAAAGCGAAAATGATAGATATTTTGGGACGAAGGGAGTAAAAATGAAAGTTAAGAGTTACATCACGAGGTGAAGCAAAGTCACAGAGATCACCGATATATATATACGGGAATATCGCTTGAGTGCTCGCTAGTCAGTGGTCTTTTTATTTTCCTTGTTCTTTCTTTCTTATATAATGAAGAAAGTGTGACACCTGGTAGCGAGTTTCGACCACCGTTGAGGATGCCCTAAGGAAGAACCTAGGGTGAAGACCCCCGGCAATTATCAATTTTTGGGAATCAGTTTCGAAATTTTACCCATTTTTTGGGCTAAAACAGAAACGGTATCGCTCGGACGAGGGACTATTGAAAAAAAAATAGGCAAATTTAGGTACACTTTATTCCAAAAAAATAGCAATATGTCTGTGACGTTAGAAATGTGCGTGTATGATCTAATCGCAAACGAGTTAGTGAACATGATACCGATCATGATTTCAATCACAGCAAATAAAAAAGACGGGTTTGTTGATGTAGTCGTCTCGCTCGATGCAGTATAAAGGGGTTGTCGTGTCGATCATGTCAAGACCACCACCATCAGGAAGTAGACAGTGACACCATTAACACGAGACCGCCAGGAAGCAGTGGAAGTAGTTGATCGTCGTCACCTTATACTCAAATACCTTGAACTGGAGCGTGACCAACGCGCTACCAAAAAAAAACTTGATCGCCAGCCTACCCCATGCAAATACACAAGCGCTACCCAAAACAACTTGATCGTGGGCCTACCCCATGCAAGTACACAAGCAGACAGAGTTTCGAAGTCCTCCTCTTCTGACAACCTGTGCACCCGAGAGGCTGGAACGGAGATGGCAGAGAGCAGCACAAACAGCGAAGTGGTGAGGTGTGGTTGTTTGTCATCCACTCGCGGACAGTAAGAGAGTGCCGCCTAACCTTCTAGGGACACCAAGAAACACATTATGGATTTCACGTAGCATTAATTCTAGCCTTGAAATTTCCTTTGGTTTAACTGCTAAATAAAATAGGTCGATTCTAATTAAATCTAGCAAAAAGTTAGAAACTAGAAACAAAAACATCTAGCGCCCGGATGTCCAAAAGGAGCTAGCGTCCGACGCCCGCACCTGCTGCGCCTGCTTCACGTAGGGGCTCGTGCCACTCCATGTCCCGTGCCCACACCACATCGTGGCCCACATGTGCTTCGTGTCCCCACGACCGCACCGTGGCGCCCCCTCCACAGCTACGCGCATGCAGGTGGGCCCAGCAACTGCAGCAAGTGGCTGCTATATATGGGTCTCACTACAACATATGCAACACTAGATCTATTTTTGCAACATATAGATGAAACACTTGCAACATACATATGAACACACTAGGCAAACACGTGTGTAGCCATTGCAGAACATATGCAACATTCAGATTAAACAGTTGCAATATATGTGTGAAGCATATGCAACATCCGGATAAAACACTTCCAAACATATGCGTGAAACATATGCAACACCCAAGTAAACACACGTGCAATATATGTTTGAAGCATCTGAAACATTTGGAACAATACACTTGCAACATACGTGTATAGCACTGCAACATATACAACATTCACGTGAAAACACTTGTAACTTGCAACATGAAAACACTTGCTGCAACATAAGACTAAAAACAGATAAAACATTTGAAACATACTCTTGCAACATGTGCAACATCCCAACCTACTTTTGCAACATCCATATGAAGCACTTGCAACATACCTCTGAAACATCTGAAACATACGCTTGCAATATGCGTTTTCAGCGCAGCGCAACATCTACTTGCTGTTCGTGAGAATGGAGGCTCGTCAGCGTATGGAGTTCACCGGAGGCAGCGACCCAGCGACTCTTGGAGGCGGCGGCCCAGCAGCGGCGGCTGCATGACGTGGAAGGGAGACATCGACCGAATGATGCGGAAGAGAGGCATTGGCCTCGTGATGCGGTTGGGAGGCAGCAGTCGCATGACTGGAAGAGGGCAGCAGCATGCCACGCCTGGTAAGGCGGCAGCTGAGCACCGAGCGCTTCGTGCCTGGCATGCCCAGCGCCCGAGCATTGCGCCTCAGAAGCGGCTTGCTGGTCTAGCGTCGTTGCGCACGAGCGGCTGCCTCCTTGTCGCCGCGCGCTCGCCTCTGCGCGGAGCTCTCCTGCCTCCACGCCGTCACCCGCATGGCTCGCTGGCCTCGCATCGTCGTGCACGAGCGACTGTCACCATGGCTCGTCTGCCTCCGCGTCGACGCGAGTTCGCCTCTGGGCCGCCACGTTGCAGCTCACCGGCACACCGCAGACCACCGGGGCTCCCTGCGCTGTGTTGGATGTGCACAAGTCAGCAGATTGAGGAGAGAGAGAAAAGAGGAGAAAGGAAGCGTACGAATTGGATAGGAATGAGTGGATGAGCATAGCGTTACGTTAAGAGATAGCATATGAGTGAATAGAAGCGATAGGAACGAGTAGATAGAAATGAGTGGATGAGTAGTTTTGAGAAATGAAGGAGCTGGAGGTTATTGGACTGGCGACACAGGCCCACCAACAAAGAGTCGGGACGGACGCACGATCGGTTGCCAGCATCATCGCTAGAGGAAGGAGTCAAAAAGAAAAGGAAAACGATTTCAACCTCTTTCTGTCGGTTTCAAAGAATAACACCGTATGTCTTTGAATCTTCGATACTTTACCGCCAGTAATACCGTATGTTAATCACACAAGCCAAATCCCAACCAACATCGACTCAATAGCTTTCGCTTCTCCCGTCGGTCCGTGGATGCTCTAGGCCAGCGGGCCCCGCTGCAGCTCGTCAGGACACGGGGGGAGCGCGACGTCGTGCTCGCCTGGCTAGGCAAGCAATCCCAGGCCGTTGCCTGGACGAGAATCTGCCTGCCAGTCACAATCCAAACACGCCCGGCCTCTCGTGGACGGCGACGGAAGTGGGGACGCCCTGCTCCGCTTCAGCTACACCGCGCCTGCCGTTCGGGCCGTCGCGAGCGTGCGTCCGTCGCCCAAGTTCGCTCAGATCCGCCCGCGGCCGGCCGCCGGCGCGAGCGCGCGTCTTCTGCCCTCCTCTGCTGACCAACACCTGCCTAGCTGGAAGTGGCAAGTGTAACGAGGGAAGCACGTCGTGATTTGGTCGCGCTGAGGCCGTGGCAGCACAGCCACCAGCCAGACACGGGACCTTGAAATGGACTGCCGATCCGTCAGCTGTCATTCTACTGGAACTCGGGAAGACTAATAACTGTAAAAGGCAAAAGAGGAACGAACTGCGAACAAACTAACGAAGCCCATTCTACTGGAAGACGATCGTAAAATGCCAAAATGGGAAACGGTAGTGGAAACAAGCAAGCGAAGCCCGTCATCTTTCACACGAAACACATACGCATACGTGGTACTGTATTCCCTTACTAACACATACTCATACGTGGCACTGTATTCCCTTACTAGCAGAGATCAATGTAACAAAGTCAGACAGACGAGACGACCGGCATGATGTACAACAGACATATCGTATGCGGAGTAAAGGAATCCACTTCAGAATAAACCTAGCACGCGACAACAGAACAATGGTAATACAGGTTCCGGTCCCATTATTAGTGCAGTTCCACGCTGCTGCTGCTGCCGCCGCCGCCACATAACACAAAGCCAACAACAGCACGTCCCTGCCCCTTCCCACGACGTCAGCCTTCACGTGTGTTCGGACTTCGCGGCTCCCCTACACCTTTCAAGTTACTGGGC